GTTGGCATGAAACAGGATCCCACAGAGGAAATTGGATAGGGAGACGACAGGAAACAGAGGGCCAGACCTTGGTCAAATAGTGTGCGAGGAGTTAGCGGACAGACAAACATACAATTTTGCTCTAGATTGCATTGAAAATAATAAGAAGGAAAACAAAAATAAAGAAATCAGATATATTTTCAAATAAAAATACACAACTAAAATAAACAAAGTCATAGATAAGGCACACAAATATCTTTTTTTGACATTAGCTGGAGGAACCAGAATAAAAGATACAATACTCCAGATCAATCACTGCTAAAACAAACATACTAAAAAGGTAAAGCACACAAGATCTTAGTTTTTTGTCTTAGTAATAATGGCAAAAAAAAATTTAAAATAATCAACTTAAATAACCAAAGGCTAACATAAGTACAAAGTGATATAATAACAAAAAATCCAACTCACAATTTAATTATACAATTAACTATAGAACAATAACTGAAGCATACATAAATCAAAAAAAAATCTTAGAAAACATAAACAAACTATTCAAAATAAGACTATATAAACATACTCAGACACAAGGGTGTGGACTGGGGATTAAAAACAGTTTGGGAAAATTATTCTTATACTGGCCTTCTATCATGGTTGGAGTTGGTTCTAGAAATAAATGCCTGTAGGGGTCATCTGTTTTAACCATCATGCCACTATACAGTAGTGTGTTGCCTGTCAGTAAACACTAAAATGATGTTACATAAGGAAGACTTAACGCTGCAATTGGTACTGTCATGATGTCAGTAAAACGTGCACATCATGTATCACGAGAACCATTTGCACTCTGTCGACTACAACACAGCATATGAAATTGAAAAGCAAGAAATAAAACTACTTGTTACTCCTAATTTTGATTTTATTTACTCTTGAAACAGAACACTTTCTGGAGACACTGCAGGAATACATCTAGTACGTACTAGTATTATTTAAACAATTTACAAATGAAACAAGAACACGCTGTGCAAAATTTTGTTTAACAATTCACCATATATTACAGTTACTAACATAAAATACCCACACTACACTGCAGGATTCTAAGGTCCACCCAAGATTCACAGAGGCCTCAATGTACCACTCAAGTGTCTCCATTATCTTAATTACAACTACAGCTACCTCAATGCACCCGTTCTTTAATTGATTTGTCTGTTGCCATTTCCCAAACTTAATTCATTTCAACTCTTATTAACTCTTTCAGCATGGGTTGGTCCCTGGGACTGACCTCATAACCATTTTGTGCTTGTTATAGTTTTCATGCTATGAACTTTAAATTAGTAATCAAATGTTAACAAAATTTGGCATATTATCAGTAAATATTACAATGTTTTCATATGCAAAATAAATTATTTTATTAAGTCTTAAGGTTTGTAAAGCAATGTTTTTCTCATGTCTTTTTTTTCTTTTCACATGTTGCCTATCCAACATACAAAGTAATATTCGTTTTAAGATTAAAAATACTTTTATACATCAGAAAATTTCACATGCAAAATCTTTATAACGGCCAAATAGTTATAAAATATTTCTTAAGAAAAAACTTTATATTTTGCCTGTTATTTTCAGTAATTAATCTCTGTACAAGTTCGGTAGATTTGACCAATCTCGCAACCACAAAAAATTAGGAAATAAATATATATTATGGCTCTTTCATTCTAGAATGAACAGAAATTATAACACAAAAACATAAATGTTTAGACTAAATAGTTTAAATCTCATAATATTATATATTTATTATTTTTAGTATATTGCCCTTTCAGCTGTGCCTGGCTAACAATAGAGAAGTTACAATGATGCAGCTCATGTGCACTCATGTTACCCTATCAAATAACATAAAGCAAAATATTAATTATTGCTATTGCTACGACAGCGGAAGTCACGTGACGCTGGGACCATGCATGCTTGAGTTACTCGAAGGATCATGAATTTTCCCCAGCAACTCTAGTCTGATCGAGATGCCCTTTTTTTATATATAAGCCTGGCAAAGAAAGCCAGAGATAGATAATTGAGTCAAGCAAACAGTAGTGGTAGTAATATAAAGTGTGTTTGTACTCGTACAGAGAAACGTATTGACTGTGAAAATTCTGTGTATTACAAAGTTGTATCGAGGAAGAATAAACTGGGTTAATCAAGAAAGGACATGTATCACTGAAGTTTCTCGGAAATAATTTCTACCAGAAATTAACAAGCAAGCAGATACGTAACACTATTTTTAAATAAGTTCTTAAACTTAGTGTTCTTAAAACATAGAACAGTAACTACAGAACTAAATCAAACAATTATCTGTTATAGTTACAACCTTTGTACTCAATTTCTGCTTGACATAGGTTGCTAAGCCTTGAAAAATTTGCTCATGAAGAATATGAAACAAAATATTTTTATTAGGTTTTAATGTAATTTTATCCAAAAAATATGAAATTTTGTGCAGACTAAAGACACATTGGTTCAAAAAAAAAAAAAAAGAAATGGTGCCAAGCCTATTAAAATGGATGAAAAAGCCACTAGGGGGACATTCTGAAGTACGTGTATATAAGGGAGTGTTTCCAAAAATGGAATAAGGCTCTTATTTTATATTCTAGCTTGTCAATATTGGTAATTTGAATTTTCTAATTCATACAAAACTATAGACTTAGTATTTTGACTTCACAAACATTTAATTTGAACCAGTGCTGCATTCAACATATCATGTGACACAGAAAAATCAATGTTTATCCGAGTCTTTTTAATATTTGCTTTTAAATTAAGAAATTGAGTAATATATAGTACTAAAATTTGAATTATAATCTACAGTTTGATATCAA